AAGCTAAAGTAGAAAATGAATCGCTAGACTTCAATGCGATTTAATGAACGCTGGGCGGAGGGGGGACGGGGTCAGTACTGAAAATGTCACTGCACTAAGWATAGTAAAGATGTCTGTCTACACTAAGTCTACCTTTTCAGAGGCATAATTTTTCAAAGGATTACATGAATGGGACAGAGCATGCGCAAACTCTAGTGATACGATTGGTTGTTTTCACCGGAATCTTTCACATACTTAGAACAATAACTTTTTACACCTAATGAARGGAGGTAGTTGCCTCTCGATATATAATTCAAAAGATTTTATGATTGGATGTTTTTTTTTCAAATCATTTCGATTAGAGGTTTGAAATTTTCTTTAATGAAAMTGGTGAAAATATAGATAAGATCAAGAGTATAGGAATGTGTATTTTGGATAAAGCTACACAAAAATCGTTGCAGTTTTCATCGTGTCGATGATCAGCCAAAGTGTAGCCTAAACGAACCACTATCTGGAAGACAATTTCAGAATTGTCGATAAAAAAACATTTTCGCGACGGGTGCCATACCGTTCCTGTTACAAGAAGATAACAGCTCTGCAGTAGTTGTTGGTTTTTCCTTTTGTTTTGCCATGCAAGTCAGATCCAATTACGATAGGCAAATCAAATGTGAACTTGACTTTAGGAAGCCATCAGCCATTTTATTTGTTGTTTCCTTGTCCTTTTGTCGTTTTTTTTCGCCTGTCGTCCGCTAATTAGCGGTATCCCTGACACTACAAGACAAAACACGACTCAAGAATTCTTTAGAAAAACTAATTTCAGGGCTTAAAAGATGATTCGTCTTGATGGGATGATTCAAAAAGATAACTTAATGCTCAGTAGGTACTCTCATGAACAATTAGGAAACATGTAAAAAGACGCCCCAGGAGGCACAGTGAGGAGCCTATTTCATCGAGAAGCACGCTGAGTCATTGGAAGTAAATCAGTTTGCATCAGACAAAACGCACATCTTAGCAGTGAGGCGATCTGTAGTTTTGACTTCAATAGAACTCAACAAATTGGACAACTGATCAATTTAGGGCGAGTCTTTGCAACCAGGAGGATCTGCTTCGGTCATTTTGAGAACTGTTGGTCACTTTTTACAGGGTGAGTTAGTAAAGAGTCTTCTGGTTAGATTCTAAGGCTTTGTCTTCAGTTACTTGTTGTAAAGGCGGTGTTTTAGAGCTAAGGAAGGTATTCTTTTTCTACTTAAATAATATTAGAATCTCAGGGATCGAAGATCTTTACAGAAGAAACTTCACTTTTTGGGGTTTGCCTTTTCCATATTGCYACCAGTTCAGGCTGTGTTTGATTTTAGGATTTAGAATAATGTTTCAACCTTTCAACATGCCATATTCCACGATAGTTTTTACGTTAAAAGACTACTAAAATCAGGAGATCTAAGTTATATGTAGAATAAGATTGTACAATATATTGATAGTGATGTGTGAAGCTTTGACAACAACAAAGAATGAAAAGAGTAGATGAAACTCTTTGACGAGTACTACCCCGAGGCACATTGAGAATGCCGGCGACCGAATCTTAATGAACCGATCCTTTGACAACAAGATTCTAGTGTGTTCTCTAGACATTCAAAGTAAACATTTTGCATTTCATGCTTTCTATAAAGTCTTTAATACATGAATTCCTGCATTTGCCATACTTGAAGTAAAATGGTAACAAAGAAGACATGTCTTCTGTTTGATGTTATGATGTAGTTTAAGACAAGTTCATGCATATGTTCAATGAGGTACATAACATTATCAAAAAAGAAAGAAAACTTCAGCAATAATACAGTATTTCTGTACATTTTTACATGCACAATACATTTTTATTACTTTTCGTTGTTCCTTGATYGACAAGTGCAATGTACTCGACTGTCATCGGTTACAGAAGGCAATTCAGAAGCCACAGGTTATATTGCTACCAGTTTTTTGAAATTAAACTTAATCATATAGAATATATAATGGCTTTATACAAAGTTATTTCACTACTTGCTTCTCGTACTCGGCTTAGTTTCTAATAGTTTCCGTTACAGAATGTTAAGAGGCACGCGCCATGCAATTAACTAGATTAACTCGAATGGTTTTCCTGAAATTCAAGCAAGCAACTAAATTCTTTAACGATCCTACATAGTGTAAAACTCCATTGCTTTTTTCTGAAAAATATAATACCAGTTTAGCTATAGCTTTCCGTAAGTGTTGGTTTCCAGACAGACATGTAGGCAAGCATTATTTTGCAGCAAAAGCAGTGTTCTAAAATTTAGGGAGCTTAATTTTTTATTTTGTCATCATATTCCTTACACATTTCGTAAGTTTTTTTGCCTCGCGTGGCAGTGAGAATACTGAGTGCTTGTGTGAAATCGTCCTCRACGCGTGCTGCAGGATTTATGCTTGATTAATATTTTCCACTAATATTTCATTTTGCAAAAAGCAATAACTTGTACAAACCTATCCCATGATAAACCATGAATTATCGTAGATATATTAATAACTTTTTGATAAAAGTAAAATTACTTGCTCCAAAAGCTTGAAAAACTGTAGCTRCAAAGCTTTAAACTTGAKTATATGTTWAGCTCTGATGGGCGCCGAACCATGCCTACCAGTGTAATTTGTTTAGAGTATTGTATGGCTGTTTACCACTGTTTACATTAGCAACACCACCCAACATTCTAGTTTACTTGTTGCCGGCTGRCAAASTGTCTAAAGATAACCTCAGGAAGTTCTAAAAAACCTTGATAAATGGTTTTTCCTTTAGATGGTCAGTTATTTATGATTTGTAGAGGCAGGCACGCGTTTCACGTTAACCACTTCCCACACAGTCGCACCTATAGCACGTCTGGCATATGAGTGTGACATAGTCAAGTACTTGAGCTGAGTGTAACAGTTTCTACTCTGTAAAACTACTGCATTTGAGTTTTGAGAGACGTTTAGGATAATATGTTAACATACTCTCAACTAGTCCTTCTCAACTAGCTGAGATGTGATTTTGGATTCATGGAAACACTTTTCTTGCRCTCAACAATACCACGAGTGCGTAGGTAAGCGGCGATATATTTCAGCAACTCATGTCATTTGAATTGAATCTAAAAGCTACTACAACGTTGCTGTAAATTTGTAAAACATATAATAAGTCCAAAGCTAAATCAATGCTATGGAGAACTAAGAATTTATTGACAAAATTAGGATCATGTATCTAAGATTAATTCATTCTCATGGATTTAGTATTGTGGGTTCCATAATATGAACTAAAGGAAAACTTTATTAGTGTGGAGAAAGTTCTTGAAAGGTCGAACATCCAAACACTTAGCCCTGTAAGTAAAATTTCCTTATTAGGTTTTCATATCATAAACTCTTCCTTTTATATTGGTATTAGATATTCAGGGTTCTATGATCATTTTAGCAATGATTTCGTATAGATTTTCACCGCAAACTTCGACTGAACTTGCTATAAATAGAAAACGATCGAAGATGGACGAGTCGGTACAAATAATTACATCTGATTTCACTTAATTTTTATAGTAGCTAGCGCAAATCAAGGATATTACAATTGACCCACAGATAAACTCGACATGGAAAGTAAGCAATTAAAAAAGTCCCGATTCTTACGCCAAATTTCACAAGTACCGAAGTTGAATGAGGTGGCAATAGGAGAGATTTATTAGAGAGATTAGAGAGATTTCGCATACACTGGAAAAAATCGCGYGCCATAAAGGTTGTAAATTTGATGTATATACAACATATTTCCATCAAATTTACAACCYTTAAAATCGCGCGATTTTTTCCAGTGATAACGACTTTGCATGCGATAATGACGAATAAAATTACATGCAAATAAGAATTGCGTTCGAGTATAGTTCCGCTTGGACAACTTCAAAATATCAAAGTTTGCAAAACCAGTATGACGTGGTATTTGCTGATTTCTACAACTCTTTTCTATAAGTGAATTGAGCAATTKTTTTCCTTTTACTTTGGAGAATTAAAATATAAAAGAAGTTTTTAWATTTTATATTTCAAGATTARCAACTTTAGCCGAAATGTAAAGTTGATAAGGGCTGGACCAGGCCCTGAGTTGGAGCAGAGCTAGTCTGATTGGAAGAAAAAGTGCATTTTCAATCACCGCAAAATGTCTAACTAAATGAACGTTCAGTGCCTCGCGAAGAATGTTTCGTCGGATGGTCCCATCGCTCAGTAGCTGGTTTGAATTATAAAGCGGGAGCCAGGCTCATCTCAAAAGGCGCCCGAGTTTCAGACTGTGAAAGGGCGACTGTTTGTTCTAGTCGGCTAGCTTTGAAGAATATTCATGACTATCTAGATAACCTGGCAAGATAAGCAATGCGCTGACTAATTGTTGACACTATCCCAAGATTTAGTCGTGGAGCGTTTAGCGCGTGCAGCACTCAGCACATTCTGGCAACGAATCGAAATTTGATGTACATGTACATGTTATGACAAAATGATATAGACCACAAAACAAGATGCTATCCACGCGTCGACTCTTGAAACTGCTAAAAATCTCTCTCTTGTCCACGATATCGCTTTCGGATAGGTTAGTAAAAAGCGTTGTGAAATTTACCGTTTACAAGGCGTTCTCTGTGGAAAGAACATCCAGGTTGCAAAAATAGCCGCTAAATGTCCTCGGTTTACAAAACAAAGCGCTCTTCTCACGTACGTTGGACGGGCTCAACCGAGCAGTCATCTCAGGTCCATGCATAGCGCGTTTTTGAGACCTTTTTGTGTTGTCTGCAATTCATTTTAACATAAAGAACTATATGCTAAACATTTTAGTACATAAACAGAATCATTATAGTTAGCTTTTTCCTGCAATGGAGCCGAGCAAACAAGTTTGACGTCTGAGACAAGAGAAATTCGTCGCAGTGTTTTCTCATCAAATCTCAGATACCCTGCAACTTCATTTACCAAACGTTGTAAACAGAGCTTTGATCTGTATTCTTAATCACATGAATGTTTCTTTTTTCTTTTAGAAAACCAAATAAACTCACTCTGCAGCGAACAAGCAAGTAGKAAAACTTACACATCTTCCGAGCTCAAAAGGACATGAGAAATGTCTTCAATCAACATTTTCACGTGGACAATAGCCWTYCTACTTCTTCTAGTTTTTCTAAAACACGGATACGCTTGTCCTCCTGGTCTAAACTTCCAACGAAAGCGAATTAGAAAACCGTTTCAGTTTAAGCAGCACGAGCCGAAGTTTGAGGAAACTTCWGCACAAGCAAGCGGGGAATCGAAGCGAGTGAAAAGAGGAACCGCGGCTTATGACGAGTTAATCATCAATGTGAATCCAAATATTGTGTTTAGGGATGACAGAGGAACGGGCGATAATCGTAGGATGACAAAGGTAACTACTGTAGTTATAACAGTTTAATTGGYAACATCTTGCTGACCTTTCAAGAATACTGAGCCACGCTGCACTAGATCGTAATATCGGCCTCACTTTTATCATCAAAGAACRATTTCCCTGTTCTAATTTAAACGTTATCAAAGCTTTTTGGGAATAGCTTTATTAATTTTGTAAAAAAGTGAATGACCTCGGAAAGTGAATGACTTCGACTACGACTCGTGTTACTATTCCAAATTTTTTTCACTATATACAACTTCACCTAAAAAGGATTTGCACGMATTCAAAGAAATTTTATTTGACGCGAGTCCTCGATGAATCTCATCATCCATATAAAGCCAATCGATCGAGTTAATGGTTCCATTTTTTAAACATGTTTAAATTTAATCAAAAACGCTTGTAAAAACACTTAGCACCTAGTTCGCTKTAAACGGACTATTTTTGTAGTCAATTTCCGACCCTTAAATGAGAAAACCATCGACCATTTATAGCCGTTAACATCAGTTTAACACATTATTAATGTGGCAGAMGCTAAGGGTCAACCGGGCTTCCTATTGCGATCCGGAAAACTAGCTGCGTCTCTTCAATGGTATTTTCTCCTTCGCGTTGCGCATTTTTTAATCATGTTTTTAATTTCCGAGTCTTTTTTTTTTTGCATTTTAATTAGTATCTATATAAGGGCATTCCTAATCGTGAGTCCAGATTAAGTAGGGCTACATTTATTTGCAAGAAATACAGTTATGAATTACTTTAATCATTTACATATCACCTTTACATATCACCGATACATTGGCAATTCTTTTCTATATATGTTATTAAAAGCACAACCGTCTTCAAGTGGTAACTAGATACTCGCAAACATCTTAACTGGGTTATTACAAGCACAGTCAGTCACTTATGCAACTCTGTTATTATTTTAGCGTTGTGAAAGCAAACTTCAGCTCCTAGCTTCCAAGGTGAAGGACCACTGGGGAGGCAAAGTGAAGCTTCGCGTTATCAGAGGCTACGATTCTGGGGAGTCGRCMCACAGACACCCTAAACGATACCCCTTTCCCAATCTTCATTACGCTGGTCGAGCAGTTGACATAACTACTTCCGATGTGGACCGAAAGAAAAATCCGATGTTGGCCCGACTTGCTTACGAAGCTGGGTTTGATTGGGTGGCTTATGGTAGTAAGGGATTCGTTCACGCGTCGGTTCAGTCGGGTGAGTTTAACTTCGACGCATGAAACACTAGAAATGTATCTTTGCTCGAATGAAAAAGGAGTTATTGATTGACTAGTTTATTAGCTGATTAATCGATTGATTGATTGATTGACTGATTTGATGATTGAACTGACTCAGTAACTGATTGATTGATTGATTGATTGATTGATTGATTGGTTGATTGGTTGATTGGTTGATTGATTGATTGATTGATTGCGACTGCTGAGTTATCTAGTGGCAAACTTAACTGATTGCAAATGGTGGCAGACTGATTGATTGACTGATTCGGCAACTGAATGACAGCATGATTGACAGATAATGATCTTGTGACTAATTGATGATTATGTTTTAATTTCATGTGTTAATTTCTACAAAGAAGAAGAAAGCACATCGCAAAAAAGTGGCTGTTTTCATTCCAATTCTACAGTATTTACTCAAAACAGAGCCAAGGTTAAAATGAAAGATTTAAAAATCGGCGATAAAGTTGCCAGCATGGATCACAGTGGCAAAATCGTCTTCTCRCCCATCATAATGTTCTTCCATCAAAGCCCAAAATTACGCACGTCATTTCGAATAATCAAGACAGAAAACCACCAGAAAGTGGCTATAACTCCTTCACACTTTATCTACAAATTAAACAAACACACCCAGCRTGACGTTGTGGATTATGCTAAGGGACTAACRGCAGGGGACAAAATTTACGTTCGTAATCCTCTAGATCCATATGGCCCCCTTACGACTGAGCGAGTAATCGAAATCAGCGAGGAGGACATGTTGGGTGCTTTTGCACCCTTGACTGAAACGGGGACAMTAATTGTAGATGATATTTTGGTGTCATGTTATGCTGTGTTTCCTAGTGATGCCATTTCGCATTGGAGCATGTTGCCAGTTCGATTGATGGCATGGTTCTAYCCGAGCTTCTTTGACACTAAGGAAGAAATGCATTGGTATCCAAGATCTTTGCTTAGACTATACAACATGGCTCAAATGCTATCGATGAGAGAGGTGTAATATAATCCATACAGAAGAAAATAGCCTTCTTGTTTGGCCTGGCACAGGGCAAAAGAAAATCCATCACCATAAATGATAATAGAGCGCCGGCGTCTTTAGAAATTTTCGGAATTGATCAAACGTTCGATCTCAGCGCCAGCTCTGAATTGATCAAGCGTTCGATCTCAGCGCCGGCCCTAATCACAACCAGAGGGCCGAATACTTTGAACAAAACGGACCATACCCATAACGTTTCGTTCGATATTCATTGGCTAACTGAGTTGACAAGTTGTGACACTGTTTATTAGATCAATTATGAACATTTGTTTCGGTTTCACCTGCTGTTATGAGTAGATAAACCTATAGATTAATCAAATGCAGTCAACGTGGCTTATATACAATAGACAATCAATCATGGTGCATATAGACATATATATATTTATTGAAAGGTTAATAATATCTGATAACATAATGACACTAGTGACAAGCTGTGACATATATAYAGTAAAAACCCGCGTATAAGAGAACACCTATTTTGGCGGTTCAGGCTGATTTGGTTCTTATTAAGGCAGCTTATGATCTGCAAAATCAGCCTCTAAGTGTTCTTAAAAAACGTTTCTTAAAATAAGGAACATACATACTTTTGGCTACCAACCGATGAAATCAATATATATGCACACAATTWTGATTAATCAATCAATGATGTAACTATTTTAATTTAAAAAATGGATAAATCAACGTGTGCAATGAAAAGTATTCTTGATCTTTGATATGTTTCCATATAAGAACAACTTTCATTTTTCAGGCTGAATGTGTTCTTATACATATGGTACTTTATTTTCTAAAATCAGGCCTAGGTGTTCTTAATCCACTTGTTGTTATACRCTGGTTTTTACTGTATATGAGCCCGTCATACAGGAGGTTTGTGGTTAGAATTGAAATACATTTTGAGAAAGTTTGAGTTGCCTCTAATTAACCGGTAAGTGACTCAGTGTTACAGCTCAAATGAGAAAAAATAGTAATTAAACATAATAGACAAAATATGCTAAAATGATGCCAAATACAAGACAGCTGACTTTCTAGGGTAGGGAGGGGACAAAGGGGGGATGGGGTGTAGGGGAATAATACAAAATGGCTCTCCCTCAATCTCTTTCAACAATATTCTAAATGACGAGGTTTAACAGACCCAAAGAAATTGCTGTATTCTGTAATATATATTGTACATAAGTSAAAATTACACAATATAATAATACCAATGTATTGATCACGACTATAACATATCAAATATTAATAATTGATACAATGTGTACTTAATGATGATATCAAAAATAAAGTTAAGGCCAGTAAAAATACAAAATTTACAGCCGACGGAGGGAAGGGGAAAGTTGAACAGACGTATCCGACATTTTGTATAAAAATACTCAGGAATCAAAACATATAGATTTAGTATTCACGACACGATTAAGAATTAATCATATTTAAGTACGCAGAGCTATTCTTTTCCCCAAATTGAATGATTTGAAAAGTAAACCTGATTTTTACTGTGGTGATAACGTCTTAGCTGCTTGTGATCGATTGTGATCAGGTTGTACGTGTATAATCCTCTTTTCATCACAGGAATCCCAAGAGGTCTCAAATAGGCTATTTTAGCGCTGGGAAGCCTAATCACAGGCAGTCCACCCATAATCCGTTATTACGGACTAAATTTTTTCTGTAGTCGCACACACATTCTTTAGAATGCGATCCTGTTGTGTAATATCAGTTGCTAAAGACGGTAATCCCGACCTAGTAGGGGCCGAAAATTTCGTGGCCGTGATCACCCAACGTTGATCATTCACTACGGATTCAGTCAACTCGTTCAAGTCGTCAAAATAATACATAAATATATTTATATATATAATATCAAAGAGGCAAGATTTTGCTGTTACTCCGAGTTTCGTGCTACGCACTCATCAGACAGTATTTATTTATTTTAGCACTCTTTAATGGGATCAGCTACTTCCTCATACAATTAAATATATTTATTTATAAATATACATAAATATATTTATTTAGAGAAATATTGAAAAAATACTAAAAATGTCGGCATTGCAAGCTACTTGGCTTGTAGGTTTCTCTTCGTATCCTTTTGGGCTTCCTGTGTCAATACTGTTCGAGCTTGGGTTCCCTGTGTGCCCATACTCCCTAGCGGTCATCGAGTACCCCCAGCAAAGCCCGATTCTTTCTCTTTCCGCGTGTTATTTCAAGATGAAGGTTCGAGGACAGGTAATATGGCTTAAAGGCCTGCATTTGTCTCTATTTTATCGCGAAGCGACCCTAAATAACTCTGAAAAGAATAAATAAACATTCATAMTAGTGATCTATGSACTATTTGTTCAAAAACCGTTCTAGTAGYACCAAATCAAATGTCTTGAAAGTACAACGTGGTTAAGATTGCCTTGTCCGCCATTTTGGATTTTCAGTGTTCAGTCTGCATTTGTGGTTGCTTTTTCTTCTTCTATTTCAAGACATCAATCTAAATTCATCGCGAACAGCAGTGGATTAAGTGCATTGAAGTTTAAGAGCTCTTAAAAATATTTTTGCTCGCTTTTTGTTATTGAAAAATTAAGAATATTTTGCATGGTTTGTGTGTGCAGCGAAAAGACGTATTTAAAGGTTTATTTTCTCTTAACACAAATGTAGCTTTAATAAGCTCATTTCTGATGATCTAATTTCTGATGTAAGAAAAATAAAATACACTGCATCTACATGTTTTTGTCGAGAGTAGTAATCCAACCTGAAAAGAATGAGTAAAAAATATCATATTTAAAAATCGTAAAAAATTGTAGATTGGCAATATTAGACGAATAAAAATTAACATTTCAAGCTGTATGTTATTATGTATAAATGTAGTGTAGTTCATTATTTCAGCAAAACATTGACAAGTTATTGTACAGAATCAATTAAACAGTTTAGCAAAAAAAAAAAGATTTTGTTCTAATTTGTGCAATTTTGGTTTTACTTCACTCTTTTTTATAAACTAAAAGGGATGCTCGTTTTTACACAGGCTCTCKTTCTATAGACCTCAAAAAAACCTGGTGTATTTTTGATTTTTGTCTTTGAAATAAGCTCCAAATCTGGCATACTGGTCATATATCAATAATAGTTTTGTAAAAAGATAAATTTAACACCATAAAAAGTAGGTGAAACAACTTACTGACGTTTTGGACTTTCATCCTTTGTCAGAGTAAAGAGGTGAAACTAGGCTAAGTGTGAGTTTTTATGATGAAAGGAGCAAAGAAAGTAGGAGCAAGGTAGGCATAGACCTTTTCTGAGATAGCAGTTCGCATTGCATTGTGGTCTAGATTCGGTACAAATATCTTTTGTTCATGTCGCCAAATATGGTGTTGTTTGTACTGAAACTAGACCACAATGCACCATGATTTTGTATTTCAGAAAAGGTCTATGGTAGACTAGTTGTTTCACCTACTTTTTTACGGTGTTAAATTTATCTTTTTACACAACTGTTTCTAGTTCACTAGTTCACCGCAAGTTTCCACTATATATTAATAATGCCTRTTTCATATGCCAAATCTCTATGCTTAATTCATTGCTGTAAACTTTTTGTTTTGTATTTATCATCTCACAATTGACATTGAATTCTTCACATGAAAGTTTGCATATAAAGCAAGCCTAAATACAACTGAAAATGTGTACAATTTATAGAGCGGATTTCGTATGAGTGGGACACCGTTACCGCACGGTTACCGGACCTGTCCTGCACAATTTTGGTGAATCAATGGGGCACTAGAATTTGGTTACAGTACGATTACGGACACAGTACAGTACTGTCCGTTTCCCACTCATACGAAATCCGCTCTAAATATTTTGTTTATTTTGCAGTTAAGGGAATTTGAAGTGATCGGGCGTAAAATGCCCTCATTAAAGGTGTCTGTCCCACCCTTGTACAAGATGCGCATCTTTGCACCTGACGAGGTTGTAGCCAGGTCCAAATTCTGGTACTTTATTTCTCAACTGAAGAGAATGAAAAAATCCCAGGGGGAGATTGTCTCATGCAAGGAGATCTTTGAGAAGAAACCCTTGAAGATCAAGAATTTCGGTGTTTGGTTGAGATACGATTCAAGAAGTGGAACCCACAACATGTACAGGGAGTACAGAGACTTGACTGTCACCTCWGCTGTAACAGCTTGTTGTAAGTGTTTATGTTACACTATTTGCTTTTAAGTGCATTTTATCCATATGCTATTATCAAAATGTTTCCTTTAACAGACTTACAGTAAAGCTGCAGCTTTTTGGCTTGCAYAGGTGATGCGATTTTCGGGTAAAATTAAAGCTGAACATCGAATTTGAGTTGTTTTTGTACATATACCWCTTTATGGAGTTTCAAATAAGTATTTGTCAGGATTTTTTTATCAATGCAGCATTGTCGCTTGTGTAGCCACATCATGCGCTGGTGATTTTGAGAAAATTGTGTTGCCTGCACAAGCGAAAAATTGCCAGTGTAGCCACATCATTTAAAGTGCATAAAAAGTGTGTTAAAAAGCATAGAGCTTTTATAGTCGCTGCTCTAGCAAATGTGGAACAAACTACCTATTTTTTTTTATTTTATTAAAATATCAGACAAGCAGCATCCATTGACATTTTTAGAAACAGCTAAAGACACATTTTATTTAAATTATCATTTAATTAGTATCATTTTCAGTTTATCTTTCATATTTTTACAATTATTTAAATTAGTAAAGGATGGAGTAAATGACCCTTATTGATAAGTCTACAAGAATTTCTTGACTTTTCCAATGTTTTGTCATTCTAGTAGCCCTTAAGAACTTTAATTTCTCAACTTTGCCTTATTAGGTGCTTACCACTATTAGAAACTCATAGACGTAACAGGAACATTCATGTCATAAGCCAGATAATTATTGATACTTTAGTAATCCCATCAAAAGAATCATTGACAATTCTTTGAGACAATTATTTATTGTCAACTAACGTTGAATTTGTGAATTTTTAGATCGTGACATGGCTGCCAGACATCGTGCCCGAGGTTCCTCAATTCAGATTATGAAGGTTGAGATAATCCCATCAAGCAAGTGTCGCAGACCTCATGTCAAGCAGATGCATGTAAGCTATTGCATTTCATTCTTAGACAATTGGAATAGTCAGTTCCTAGCTGTTAGCTTTGCAGCTATTTCACGAAAACAGTAACTACTGAATACTGCATTTGAAGAGCACAATGCATTGTTGTCATTAAACCCCACGTTAGCTGCATTACAAGCTGACTTTTGACTGTAAGGATTCTCTTGACTGTACAGAGGCTTTTGACTGTAAGGATTCTCTTGACTGTACAGAGGTGGCACAGTCACTCTGAAACCACAAAAACCCWTTTTGAATAGACCTTTTCTAARWTAAAAYATCATGRWGCATTGTGGTCTAGCTTCAGYACAAACAATGCAATATTTGGCAGCATGAACAAAAATATGTTTGTACCGAATCTAGACCACAATGCAATGCAAACTTCTTTCTCAGGAAAGGCCTWYGGCAATAAATGTGCTTTTTAACCTTAGGATCCACTATCTTCAGTTATTTTATGTTYGMTGAAATATCTGTGTGCAGTAAAAATTCGTAACAGTGAATTGTCTCAATCYACTCTGACAAATCACGCTGACAAGATGTGATCAAACTTTGTAGACTTTCAAAACCACTTTTTCTCTAATTTTTCCAGTTTAAATRWGACATTTATTTGTTTTTGTTTTACCTCTTCTACAGGACAACAAAATGAAGTTCCCWCTTCCTCACCGTGTCATGAAGTCRCAGTACAAGTCGAAATTTGTGGCCAAGAGGCCCAACACTTTCTACTAAAACTGTAATGACACCAGAAAAATAAAAAGAATTTCCCTTAGAACTACAACTTTGATGTCCTTTATTTAACGAGTTTAGATTTAAAACATGGATACAGAGGTGGTARACTAAGGCACATCGGAGTCACGCCTCATAAAGTGGATTTTTGTTTACAAACTTTTGCTTATTAGCATAAATTTTCAATTAAAGAAAAGCTAAGTTCATAGAGTAGAGTGAACGCACTTAATCTGTGCAACTGTACAAAATCTAAGTAGTACTAATTTGTACTAAAAGTACAAAGTACAAGTACTGAAGCAAGACGGTATTGAATTTTTCATTTGTAGCGATTCAATTTAATTTGCGTACCGCATGAACGATTTACTAAATGCAACTAAACATCACTATTTAGTTTGTACAGTTGCACGGATTAAGTGCGATCACTCTACAAACATTAAATGTGTGCAATACTTTCCACAAACAATAGAATTAGCAGTGGTATTTTTAGTGGTATTTATGTTGCACAGTTTTAGTGTTTGTACTCTAACTCAAAAAGGACTTATTATGGTACAACTATCGAATACCCCACCACCCAAACCCTCTACTGTAGCGGGCTACGCGGCTACGCAGTGATAGACACAGGGATACCAAAATAAGTATATAAACAACATTTCTTATTTTATTCACTGGACTATTACTCAATAATATTCTTGGACTTTTTGGAAGACTATTCAATATCTGACCTCGTAGCCGCGTAGCCACTTCATAATATATTGTCTCGTTCTGTAAACACAGGGAGACCTGTACTCAATTTTTGACTCCGTAGCCGTCAGTAGTAAGAGTTGTCGTACGTATTCCATATTCTTCGTTTGCACGTACGTCATGGAAAAATAAATTTTCCGTAAAATTAGTCATAAACAAAATTCAAGTAATCCATGTGAAAGAGCGAGTAATACTCTGTATCCCTGAGAGTTTTAAAATCAAAGATAAAATTTCGGTACTTTCACATAACAGATGTATTAAAATTCTGTAATTCTGTGAAAGTTTGAGTCGAACCGAGCTTTTGTTGCAAGTTTATAAGCAATTTTATATGCCGATCTTTACAAAGAAATGTATGGCGGCACCGTACTGGTGGATCTCTGAAGTCCACCAGAAATGGCGGCCAACTGTTATGAACATAATTTCGGGTACAAAGTAGCAAATATTCCTTATTTTCATTACATTTAGCAATTCTAAATCTATGTTAAAACAAAAAACTACGATTTAGAAGAATTTTAGTTGATTTCCACGGCTTTTCATGCGCGTGACCTGGAGTTGTGTGACATGACTTTGGCTACCAAATAAAACACGTTGTGCATCAAATTATTCGCATATAAGCTCAAAAAATATCTCGAAACATAGTTTTCTAAACTATATTTTAGAGTAAAATCGATTTCATGGGAAATTAGGTTTAAATTAATTTTTTTGGGATCTATGACGTAACGTGCAAATGAAGAATATGGTATTAACTAACAAGCGTATCGGGTCCCTAACAAGCGAATAGCGCTAAATACTTGAAATGTCACAAACAATTCGTTGTTTGCCAGCGTAATCTCTCGTGGTCAAGTTAGTTAAGGTGTCTCGATCGTACTAAATAGCGTTTCGCGCGTATTTTTTAAACTCCAACTACGTCGCAAATTTCGATTCAATTGCACTCAAACTTTCGCAGAAGTCACATTGATTATCGATAATTCTTGTTGATAAATTAATTTGCCAAAAAGCGAAGCCATTTGGAGAGACGATGCAAAATAAAAACACCTTCATTTTTCTTCAAAGTTATTTTCTCGAAACTCATCGCAGAGATTGTAATAAAATTTTCAGAATCATTTCTTAATAACATAATTGATATACTGACGAAGTTTCAATAAAATCTTAACCTAAAATTTCGAGTTGTTCGAATGTACATCATTTTGCTCAAACATTTTGCTCAAACTATA